TGTGCACACAGAATTGATGTACCCTACAGTGGTCCAATATGGAAAGCCATACATACAGATATGATGTACCCTAAAGGGATCCAATCTAGACAGTCGTGCATACAGATATGATGTATCTACGCTACCAGGGTCCAATATGGACAGTCATACATACAGACAAATATGGACCCATCACATCCTGTTCTCATGTCATTATTCTGGTAAATGACGGTGAGATTGGGACCCACATCTACTATGGTCAAGCACCTTCACAACAAATCTATCACAAACCTGACTTTCTGTTTTAACTTATAAATATTTTATTCATAAATATATTTATAGGGACTTATTTATTTAACAACACTTTGAACAATATTTCAGTTATATCACAGCCCGTATTGATGTGATCATATCCCAATCACGACACGACATTGAAGTGATAGTTGGAAAAGAATTTATTCTCATAGATTACATGTGTGTGTCCGTTGCCATGTGCTCTTACCAAATGTCCTTCCGGTACCCTTCTGCGCCTGACCTAACAATATAGTGTTAGCCTTACGACTACTCTTCCCTTCTGCGCCTGACCTAACAATATAGTGTTAGCCTTACGTCTACTCTTCCCTTCTGCGCATGGCCTAACAATATAGTGTTAGCCTTACGACTACTCTTCCCTTCTGCGCATGACCTAACAATATAGTGTTAGCCTAACAACTACTCTTCCCTTCTGCGCCTGACCTAACAATATAGTGTTAGCCTTACGACTACTTTTCCCTTCTGCGCATGACCTAACAATATAGTGTTAGCCTTACGACTACTCTTCCCTTCTGCGCATGACCTAACAATATAGTGTTAGCCTTACGACTACTCTTCCCTTCTGTGCATGACCTAACAATATAGTGTTAGCCTTACGACTACTCTTCCTTTCTGCGCATGACCTAACAATATAGTGTTTGCCTTATGACTACTCTTCCCTTCTGCGCATGACCTAACAATATAGTGTTAGCCTTACGACTACTCTTCCCTTCTGCGCATGACCTAACAATATAGTGTTTGCCTTATGACTACTCTTCCCTTCTGCGCATGACCTAACAATATAGTGTTAGCCTTACGACTACTCTTCCCTTCTGCGCATGACCTAACAATATAGTGTTAGCCTTACGACTACTCTTCCCTTCTGCGCATGACCTAACAATATAGTGTTAGCCTAACAACTACTCTTCCCTTCTGCGCATGACCTAACAATATAGTGTTAGCCTAACAACTACTCTTCCCTTCTGCGCCTGACCTAACAATATAGTGTTAGCCTTACGACTACTCTTCCCTTCTGCGCCTGACCTAACAATATAGTGTTAGCCTAACAACTACTCTTCCCTTCTGCGCATGACCTAACAATATAGTGTTAGCGTAACAACTACTCTTCCCTTCTGCGCATGACCTAACAATATTGTTTTAGCCTAACGACTACTCCCCCTTTTCTTTATTTTGGAGAATGTTAAACACTCCAACTATAACATCAAATGATAAAATTAAACTGTCAGCTTGATGTTGTAGGAAAACCCATTGTAATGTAGGCATAATAAGAATAGTGAATGAGTGCAGTGCTGACAGACCTTAAAACATATACAAGGCAATATGGTGTAAGAATAACTTTCTGGAAAACTAAATTGTGGCACCTTAGATGACTGGGCCACCCATGTTCCCCGGTCATAGTTGAAAGAATTGTGTAAATATTATATGAAAGGTAAACAAGCACTAAATAATCAGATAATAGTGAGTGAGTGAGTGAGTGAGTGAGTGAGTGAGTGAGTGAGGTGACATTGCACCCATTGTGATTCGAACGTCACTTCGGCGTGACGAGGGAACGCTTTAGCCACTAGGCTACCCCACCACCCCTAATCAGATAATACACAAACCATATGTCTAGGATAAATACTTCCAGGTAGCAGTCCAACATTTCACTATTACCCCCACATTCTATCCCCTATTCACCCCCAGTACCTTCCTCACCCATGCCCAACCCCCTTCCCCCGCCCCACCCCACCCAGGATTCCCTACACAGTCACTCATATCATTCACAGCAGGAAATGTTCAAGTCTCTCTCTGTCAGGCAAACACATCCAGTGACCTCTGCTATATTTGAATTTCATCATTAGGAATAAACACTGCGCTCATTTTCGTAAATATTGGAAGGGCGTGAGTAGTGAGATTCTCTCCCATATGCACAGCGCCCCCTAGAGAGAGTGACTTCCTGGCTATCTGAGAGTTCATGAAGTAAATATTTAGATGAAATGTGGTAATAGGCGTTTCTCATTTCGGGTTGTCTCTTTTAATTTTGCTAAATGTATGACAGGGATGCAGTTCACATGATAAACTTGTAAAGTTTGAGTGCAGAATTGGTTAAAGGAACAGCATCAAAAGCTTTTCAAAGTCATGTTTTTATCAGATCGTCTTCATTCTACTGGTACCATTTTACCAATCTGAACACCCACGGTGTTCTATCCATCGTCTCACTGTTTCAGATTTCTGAACCTTGTGGTTTCTTAGAGGAAGGTTCTTTTGATTTTTTAATAACATAAAAAAAAAATATTTTGTTTATTTGAAAACCATGAATAAGGTGCTCATTCAGTCCTAGTGAGCTAAAAAATATTTGAAAAGACTCAATGGATTTTGTTGCTGTAAAAAAAATAAAATTTGAGTCACAGTTATCTGTGATTTTGTTACATTCCTTTTGTTTCTTTTTAGAACATGTAAATTCCTTGCAAACCTAAGACATTGTGCGCTTTCATTTTTTTATCCAAAAAGTTCATTTGCATCATTGCTCATTGTTTTACACAGCTGAGACACTGCAGATGTGATGTTAAATTGTGGTTCATGCATTCAATTTTAATAATTGTGGTGGTCATTATTGGTCAACATGTGCAGATTCAAACCAGAACCTTTGGTGGGACAGGCAAACACACAACCCGCTAGGCTACTTAACTATTTATCAATATTTACTCCTTAAATTTAAAGAACATACCTCAATATAGAGGGATTACTTCATGGAGTCTTGAGCAACTTCAAATTCACAAACCCTGATAATGAACAAGCCTGCCCTGATAGTTTCCATACAACAAACCACAGCTGGCACATGTTTTCGCACATTTCTAATTCTTCAAATAAAACAAATTATAACTATCAAAATCAAGTGGAAACAAATGAAAACAATCTTAATTCAGCGACAAAACGCTTTCACTGTGAAGGCCTTAAAAGACTATATTGTTCATAGAACATTCTTCAACAATAAATAGTTTTAGGCAAATAGCGTTACATGATTCATGACACACCTTAACATCAACCATATAATTTCTATAAACATTCTCAAATAGTGTTTCCAAAGGTCTTTGATTTGCCATGAAAAAAACCAAAAAAACAAACATTAAACACCCATAGGCCTCATCCCAGATGAAGATGGTGATTTGATGAAACTGTCTTCACTGTTCTCCTTAACATTCCCCATACTTCCTGTTGCTGAGGAGTAAACGACTGGCTTGTGTTTAGTCTGTTTTGTTAATGATAGCAGAAGAATAAACTATCCTTTTTTTCAAGGAGAGCTCTATGCAGGTGGAAATAACTCTGCTCCCAGGCAAAATCTGCACGTACACATGCTGGCATGACATAGTTCACCTCTGATGAAACATCCAGGATTATCTTGCGCATTACAATCATATGATTGATACTCATTTGCTGCCACAACTAATTTTGGAGTTCAGTTCGAATGACAAATTGCTAAACCTAGTTTTCCAATCAAATACTCTTATTATATGCATGAGTGAGTGAGTGATTGAGTTGGGTTTAACGCCGTTTTTAACAGTATTCCAGTCATATCGCGGCGTGTCAGCTTAATGTGGGAGGAAAGCCCGAAGTGATGCAGGTCTTAGACGTTTACCACTTCGGTGAAAACCACGAGCACGGGTATGGTGCCGACAAACCTGGAAACATAATCGGGGTGAACTGGGATTCGAACCCACAATCTTATATGCATGAAACAGTGATGCATTATGATCTGGCTCATCGTGTCTCATACTGGGGAATACCTCTTGTGGGACTTCCCTCCTCCCCTTGTCGTAATACTGAAGAAAAATCTTTCCAGCTAAAAGCTCATTAATAACAATCTCCTGATTCAGTCTAAACTACTTGTCTTTGATATATCGAGGACTTCTATTATGAGGCTGCTTTTTTTAAATAGATTTCTTCCAAACTCGGATTATTTTGATGATGAGAAAATCCTTGCAGACCAGCAGATTAAGTCAACATTCAGGAAAATCGTTCAAATTGTGGCCCAAGCACCAAAACTTGCATGGGTGCTCCTGTTGGACTACTTGTTTGAAAATGTCTGTTAGCCACCCATTAGACAATTCATACTCTAAAATGGCAGCCAGTTTCCAAGATGGTGCACATTTTTAAAAAACCCATACAATCTTTGCTATTAAGTTTGACTGGTTATTCAGATTTAAACAAGCATGAAATACTCATATCCCCTGCCAATATGACATGTCCGGTTGTGTGCAAGGGAAAACATATTGTACGGTTTTCAAGATCTGCTCTGGAAACGAGCACTCTCGCCATTTTCAGTCTAAGTCAAAGTCGTTGCCATGGAAACTTGAAATTAAAAAATATAGTCCCAAACTATCAAAATGCACCAGTTCACCACTAGACCTATCTGTGTGCCAAGTTTGGTGAAGATATCTTTCATGCTTTTTTACTTCTGCTCCGGAAACGGACAGATGGACAGACGGATGTATGGACAGCAGCCATTCCAATATCCCCCTTCCACTTGGTGGCGGTGATGGTGACATTACTTCCAAGACAAGAATAAAGTGGTATGTATCATAATAACATGGAGATATTGTACACTGGATGATCAATGATGCCGTGATGTGGAAAAAAGGCAATTTCCTTCTCGGGGCAATATCTGGAGACCTTCGCAACATTAACCCAAGGAAGAAATTTTAAATTAAGCAGAAAGGTTTCATGCCTACCTTATCCAGGAACCATCCAGGCCCAAACCCAGAGTTGTCGTGACCAATCCGCAACCTCTCCAGGCGACCAAGACGTGGACATTCAACAATGAATTCATCCCTCCTGAAAGTTAACGCACAAGCCATGAAGGTATCAGTTCATAAGTTACAACATATTCATCTGAATGTTTCTTCAAATTAAATAAGGGCACATTATTGTGTGATTATACAACATGCTCACTAAATCAGTCACTGATCTTCATACAGGGAAGCCAAATATAGTTGTAATATTAAAAAGACAATCCTAATGTCAGACGTAGTCACATCTAATGTCAATCCTAATGATGTCAAACTAATGTCAATACAAGAGTCAATCCCAATATCAAAACTAATGTCAATCCTAAAGTTATGTCTGATGTCCAACCTAATATCAATCTTAATGTCAATCCTGTCTTACTAATGTCAAGCCAAGAGTTAATCCAAATGTAAATCCAAAAATCAATCCTTCTATCAATCCTAAAGTCATGTCTGAAGTCAGACCTAATATCAATACTAACGTCAATACTAACGTCGATACTAACGTCAATCCTAATGTCAATCCCAATGCCAATCCTAATATCAATCCTACAGTCAGACCTAATAACAATCCTAATGTCAATCCTGATGCCAATTCAAATATCAATCCCAATGTCAATCCCAATGTCAATCCTAATGTCAATCCCAATGCCAATCCTAATATCAATCCTACAGTCAGACCTAATAACAATCCTAATGTCAATCCTGATGCCAATTCTAATGTCAATCCCAATGCCAATCCCAATATCAATCCTAATGCCAATCCTAATGTCAATCCTACAGTCAGACCTAATAACAATCCTAATGTCAATCCTGATGCCAATTCAAATATCAATCCCAATGTCAATCCCAATGTCAATCCTAATGTCAATCCTACAGTCAGACCTAATAACAATCCTAATGTCAATCCTGATGCCAATTCTAATGTCAATCCCAATGTCAATCCCAATGTCAATCCCAATGTCAATCCTAATGCCAATCCTAATGTCAATCCTACAGTCAGACCTTAAATAATCCCAACATCAATCCTGATGCCAATTCTAATATCAATCCCAATGTAAATCCTAATGTCAATCCCAATGTCAATCCTAATGTCAATCCTACAGTCAGACCTAATAACTATCTTAATGTCAATACTATTATCAATCCTAATGTCAATCCTGAAGTCCCTCCTGGTGTCAATCCAAAGGCTAACTCACTTTCCTCTCTCGAAGTTGTTTTTCTTTGCCTTCCTGAGTGGTCTCTCTCCTGAATCTCCATTCTCTCCAAACATGGTCAGGTAGACATTGGCATCGGTCCCTGCACCTTTGACGTTGCCAGTGAACACAGTCACCTTGTACTTGGCCACTGGTGGAAGAAGGGAGATTATTCACATCAAGCGTTAGGTGTGACATTATCAGCACCGGGGAAAAACATTACTTAATAATCATGATAAGAGGAGTTATCTCCCTTGTCTTCAGCTCCAACTCTCGTAACACACACCCCATGATCTGACAATAAACCCTCACCCACACCATGCAAAAACATAGACTCACAATAGTCTCACAATCAACACCAACAAAGTGACACGAAAAAATTATACATTAAACTGGGGGAGGCAGCAAAGTATGACACAGTCCTAAGACCAACGTCCCCTCCACCTCCTCCCCCTTATAATGAATGACCAGTCCCTAAATTCTAGGATGGATGTTTTGTTTGTCAGTTTGTTGTTTAACACAGCACTCAGCAATATTCCAGCTATATGACGGCAGTCTGTAAATAATCGAATCTGGACCAGACAAAATCGGTGATTCACACCATGAGCATCGATCCACACAATTGGGATAGGATGGCATGTTTCAATCAAGTCAGTGAGCCTGACCACCCGATCCTGTCACCTCTTACGACAAGCATAGTCGCCTTTTACAGCAATCATGGGTTGCTGAAGATCTATTCTGATCCGGATCTTCACAGGTGTCTAGAATGGTAATGATACTTATCAAACTATTAAATTACTATTACAATAGTTGTACCTATATCACAAAACATCTCAAAAGTGGCCTTTTAGTCCTGCACCATGACCGTGGAATATATTTATTTTATGAAAAAATAATCTAGAAATGCATACAAAAGCAAGTCTAGCCAGCTTAAGCTAGCTCTATTCTGAAATAAATCAGCATAGGGAATGTTTTTTTATTTTTAGAGTCAAGAATGATATTGTGTAATATAAGATTTCCGAGACTAAATGTTAGACTAGTGGCCTATTAGCCTATTGCAATACCACTGCAGTTGTAAACATGGCCCCTATGGTCTGCCCTATGTTAACTGATGGAACTGCCCTCCCCTCCTCAGCAGGTGCCCCCATGATGCTGACAGTGGTTGAAGCATGGGTAAAATCTACTCCTGACACTTACTTTTCCTGATGGCCATGGGGTCTCGACTGCCGATGAGGTCACGCGAGATGGAGCCGTCGCCTTCATCTTTAGCCAGCCACTGACCACAGGGGAAGAAATATTTCCACTTTGGGTTGTTGAGGTCAGTCACGACTACCTGGAACAAGATGATTAATTTGTGATGACTATTTTATTTTATCTTTTATAAGTTGTAGCAGGATCACGAATGCGTTAGGTTTTAAAACCCTAACAAGGGATGCAGAAAACCCCACGTACTCCGAGTGATCCTGCTTCAACGAATTTATCTTACCAACATGTTTGAACATAACATTGAAAAAGAATTCAAAAAAATTCAAAATTGACAGAAAACAGCAGTTCAATTGAGCTGAGGTTAGTTTGCACTATGCCACGTGACTTTCATTGACTCGGAAAAAGTGTGCGGCTTTTTGCTTTGAAGCAGGGTATAAGGGATTTATTCTGTCTCTCAGAAATACACATGCAGCCAGATTTGCTCGTGGCAGGGTATTTTAGATTAATCCCCCGCTGAGAAATTTATTCCCCTCCAAGCGGGTTATATGGTATTTTATCAAGATCACGTGGACAAATGAGACCTCATCATTCTGACATGGAGGTATGATAAATGGTTTTGTTAGTTTTATTCAACAGTCTGTAATACTCCAGCTATGTTGATGACAGACCAAAGATTTGAGGCGACTCTTGGATCTAAACAGACAGCCTGCAGATCCTGGAATGGCCAAGGGATGCAACTCTGCACAGAAAGAGATAACAGTGCCTTAGACAGCTGGGCAGCCTTAAACTGGCACCATCATAGCCTATTCTTACAATGAAGAAGTTTCAAACAGTTTAAAGTCACACAATCCATTTCTAATAACATCCACATTAGGCTTAAAAAAATAAAAGAATTTGTTCTCAAGCAATGGTTTTTAAAAATATAGCGTGAGTCTTTTTGGGGGGTTTGTTCAAACTGGTATGTATTTAACAACCTGGAAAAGGGCCTCCCTACATAAATGTATTCCTTCATGAGTAAAATACTGGGATATAGTATTGGACTACCCTTGGAATATTTAATGATTTTTTTTTTTTTTTACTAAATGAAAATTAAAATGAAACATGCGGCGAACTTTGTGATGATGCGGGCAGTGCCTGAGAACCAAGACCATTTTTTTTTTAGCCTTATTTAAAAAATGGATGAGAGACAAAGGGGGACAACTCACCCTCTCTAGAAACCAGCCTGCTGCAAGGCCCGTGTTGTCGTGCTCCACCCTGAGTTTGGTGAGTGGACCGACACAGTTGGAGCTGACGCGGAAGGAATTGCTGCTGTTGCGTTTAAATGTTGACTTCACATTGCTCCGTAGATGGAACTTCCCGGTAGCACCAGTTTTGCCAAATATTTTCACAAATACATTAGCATCAGTACCAGCTCCTCTCTTGTCTCCCGTCACCGTGACGATCTCGTATTCTACAGGAGAGAAGAGCGTTAATATACCTACAGTTACACCCAGGAGGTGATGACACATGTGGCGTGACACGGATGAACACGTTTCGTTGCACAAACCCTACATGCAAAGGCAAACTACCTGTCAAACAAACCTGGAACACCCAAAGCATGCACGGCACCTCTTTTCACAAAAGCATATATGCACATCTCCAACACATGTTACCAAACTGACTATTTTTCACTGATTCATTTTGATTATTTTTCTATAGTTAATACTTTCAAAATACAAATTAGTTTTGAATTTAAATCCCATTTATTTCCATCACACATCTATTTGTCCACCATTTTGTGTGAAGCAAACGCAAGTGACACGAGAGGTGGAATCTGACTGGTCCATAGGAAAGGCTTAGAAGGGACATAACTTGTATATCATATCATATATATATTGTAATACTTTCAGTCCAAGTTCCAGTTTATGTCAGTTGGGTTAAGTGTTTTGGAGAAAGGCTTTGGTTCTAGATTCCGTGAAACCTGTTTGACTCCTGTGTTGTTCATCTTCCCGAGGCAAAAGCGTTATCGACTATAAAAGTCCAGTTTCCATCCTTGCCGAACTAGGCTGGTATTATGGAGTTTCATTTTGGCTGGACTAATGAGTCTATGCATAGTCCAATCAAAATCGCGCACTGAATCCGGTTCGTTAACTGTCGTGCAGATTTCGGTCAATTTTGCAAAGCATGTGCACAGCCAACTCGCTGTCAGCAGATATTTTCCAAACCTTATCATGTTTTTAATCAAGGTGCTCACGTGATTTGATGCATTTCGCAATGTAAGACCTGTTTTATCACAATAAAGATCTTGATTATTGATCAGATCGTCCTGACTGGGCACCACCATTTTGTGTGAAGCAAACGCAAGTGATACGAGAGGTGGAATCTAATTGGTCCATAGGAGAGGCTAAGACGGGACATAACTGGTAATAGCCACTGGTGGCGCTACGATCGAGCCCAGTAATTCCAGCCAAGTTCGGCAAGGGTGGAAACTGGACTTTTTAAAAGTCAGTTAACTCTCTTGCCTCGGGAAGATGGTGTGGTTGGGAGGTGGGTGAAAGAGTATCTGAGGTTTCACATGCTTTTAGCAGTAACTCATCAACTTCACAACAGGGGACACAACACAATGGTTCGCTACCCTGGGGAAAACTGAACCTGGCATACAGCATGAAAGGCCAACACGTCAACTGCTAGACTAAATTAACATATATATTTGAAGGGAAAGGCTAACTGAGCAAGACTTGATTAGAACAAGCTTGCAAACGTAAGAAGACAAATTTACCTGTTTTGGAGGCAACTTGTGGGAAGAGTTGTCGCGACGTCTTTCCATCTGTGTGGTAGTACGACAACCACTGGCCACAGTGGAACACCCATTGCTTCTTGTTCTTTGTGTTCAAAATTTTCACTTTCTCTAAAAACCAGCTCTGTTCCCTGCTGGTTCCGGAATGCTGGGAAGAAAAGGTTTTGTTCACATTAACATTAACAACAACATGACAGGCCACTTTTTATTTTGAAACAAATTTTTTTTAAAATGTGAAAATAAAAATAAATAAAAAATATTTATTGGCCAATAATATAGAGCAAGAAACTCAATGACATTATTACCAAGGTAGTGGATTGCTGTGTATTCTAACTACATTCTCAACCCCCTTGGGAGTATATGTTTTGATATGTTAGGCTATTGAAAAAATAGTCTTGGTTCTCATAAAGTTTGCTGCATGTTTTCATTTTTATTTCCATTTAACAAAAAAAATATCCTAATACTCAAAAACAATGTGATCCAATAAAACATGCAGTTACTTCCCTTTACATGTCATGGCGGCAATAGGAGTTGTATGCTTGTTTATGTATGGAGGCCCTGTCCCAGGTTGATGGTACACAACTGTTTCTTTGGTTACATACTAGTCTGAACATGCAAAAAAAAAACAACACTGCCTGCCCGCTCCATATTTGCAAAAGTCATCGCCTGAGAACCAATTCTTTTTTTTTTTGCCTTACATATCTAAACTTGTACATGACGCACATTGAAACAAGAAGATCATACAACCTCTATACTTTGTTATATGAGTAGTGCTTTATATGACAGTCAGCAATATACCGATCTCATTAAAATCAGATCTTTGTTCTCGCTGTTGCTAGACAAAGATCTGAGGACATCCCATTAAGGGTCACGTCAGATCGACCTTTCATCCAACGAATCAGAGCTTTGCTTACCAGACCATGAAAGTGACAGTCAGAATGTGTTTTCCAATCATGCAACCACAAAATATTTAAAACGGGGTATTCCGAACGACAGTTACGGGTTTTATGATTATATCCATACAATCTAGGCCATCTATAAGTCATTCCAGAATGTTCTTCTTATCAGTCTAAATTTTTTTAATCAAGAATACATCAAAATATGTTTCGAAGCGAAGTCGCCAGTTTGAAATTAGTATCATAAAGCTCGAGAAAGCTGCCTTCTGATTGGCTAATGTCGATTTCTTGTCAGTCATTTCAGTGGTCGGTCAAAGTTCGCAAAAGGTCGTTCTCACGTGACCCGTAATGGGATGTCCACAGATCTGTAGCGGTAGCGAAAACTAAGATCTGATTTTAATTAGATTGGCAATATACCAGCTGTATTAAGGCAGCCTGTCAATGATCCAGTCTGGGCCAGACAAACCAGGTGTCGATATAATGAGCAACAACTCATTCCATCTCGAGCATAGGTAACTGGGAACCAGTTCAACCCTGGAATCCTATGGGGATCAACAAATTAGAACCAGACTGGTGTTTTTGTTGCACCAAGTTTAGTTATATTGGGTGATTTTGACAAGACTTTTTCTTACCTCCATAACAATAGACTTGATATCTCCGATATTTGGCCCCTTGACCTTGAACATGTGGGTCGTGCCCTTGCTGAAGTTGAAGGACACTGCATTGTTGGACCTGACAGATCCCGCTTTCTTTGTCAGTCGATGTTTGGGAAACTTACCCTTCGTGCCAGTCATTTTTAGATATACCTGGAAAAATGGTAACAGTCTGACATATACTTTTATCCTCATTACACTAAGAATGTCCCATGTACTCATGTTATGAAATTAATTTTAGAATCATTTTTGAGTGAGTTTGGTTTTACGCCGCTTTTAGAAATATTCCAGCAATATCATGGCGGGGGACACCAGAAATGGGCTTCACACATTGTTCCCATGTTGGGATTCGAACCCAGGTCTTTGACATGACAAGTGAACGCTTTAACCACTAGGCTACCCGACCGCCCCTCAACATGATGGAAGTCATGGTCATATGGATAAATTTCAACTCAAAGAGTTGTTTTTTTAGCATGAAAACATTACTTTATTATGCATTAGGGATGAAGTACTATATTTATATGGAAATAGAAAAGATTCACTTGGGTGAAATATAACATCATCTCACCTTGGCATCGGTACTGGCTCCCTTCTCCATCCCCGTGGTAACGAACACCTTGTACTGGATGTCCCCCTTCTGTGGTGTGACAGAACGACGAAGACCAAGGCTGCTGCTGCTGCTGCTGCGGACGATGCTGTTCCTCTGGAACAATCATACCAAATATGGTAAAAAACATGTTAACCATTGCTGAGGATATCTGCAGGTCTACATTCAGAGCATGAAACTTTTTTGAAGAAAGATTAAATCATCAAAACTTTAAAAATACTTTCAAATTAAAAAAGAATCAGGTCAATGTGCATTCTATTGTGTTAAGCACTCTTATTCCAACATTCCAGGAAAAATCCCAAGAAAAATGCATCAATCTTGGTCCAACTCTTCCCACACTTGCCAATTTCCCCCGTCCTTTAGTACAGATTTGTTACCTGACCCTAAATAGATTTAGCACACTCGAAACGACAAACAGTCATATATTTTAAAATTATTTAATTTAAATGAAACACTGATTTGAAGACATGTTTTAACTGCCAGGTGTACTGACCTGCAGCACTAAAAGATACCATCCAGGCAACTTATCAACATTCCCGATTTCAAAACACTAATTGCTGAATAGAAACACATTAAACACACACCTTTAGACCTTACCCTTCTTGTTGTAAGTCTATGTTAAAGTATGGGACTTACGATCACCTTAGCGTTAAAATTAATTTGTGAAACAGTATTATTATTAAACATATTTTATTGTCCAAAAAGACAAAGGGATTGGGCACAAGTGCAGCACTTATTACCACCTTCTCCCTCAGTATGAGAGTTACGATCGATCATCTTAGTGCCAAGATCAATTTGTGAAACGGTATGGGAGTTACGATCGATCGTCTTCGTGCCATGAATTTGTGAAATGGTATGCGAGTTATGATCATCATAGCGCTAAGATCAAATTGTGACACCATATGTGAGTTACGATCAATCATCTTAGCGCTAAGATCAATTTGGGACATGTTATGGGAGGTACGATCGATCATCTTAGCACTAAGATCAATTTGTGACACGGGGCAATATGTATTGCACCAAAGGCAACCCATTTCATGGAGCATCATATGCACAAGCTCTTTCAGAAGACTTACCGTAAAAGGTGACTATGCTTGTCGTAAGAGGCGACTAACGGGATCGGGTGGTCAGGCTCACTGACTTGGTTGATGCATGTCATTGATCTCAATTGCGTGGATCTATGCTCATGATATTAATCACTGGATTGTCTGGTCCAGGCTCTATTATTTACAGACCGCTGTCATACAGCTGGAATATTGCTGTGCAGCGTTAAACAACAAACCAACGAACCAACCAATCAGAAAGCTTATTTTTTGTTCTACTTGTGTAGACGTACCTGTCTGCGGAGAGCATCAAGCTGAAGAGTCCCGAACCTCCTCTCAAAATACTCCACAAGGTGAGGGTCGTTCAGGGGGGTGTAGTTGGGGAGGGGGTAGCTCTTGCCGCCATCCGGCACGGGGTACCCCAAGGAGGAGTTCATGAAGGCCTCTGTCTTCCTGGCTGAAGAATGGAAAAAATGACTGGGTAGATATTGTATGTGGATGATCCATTACAGACAGCGTAACGGTAATCTTTTGGGATCATACTGGTGATCTTAGCATCAGGACTATTGTAATGGCAATACCTTAACTAAGACTTACAACAGATCCCATTACAGGCCACGTCAGAAGGACTTTTCGTGAACTTTGACTGACCAATGAAATGACTTACGAGAAGACAACATTAGCCAATCAGAAAGCAGTTTTCTTGCGCTATACAGTACAAGTTTCAAACGGGCATTCTTAGCATTAGGACTAATTGTAATGGCAATACTTTAACTAAGACTTAGTTGTTTCTGCTAAGATCACTTTGTGCAAATGGACCCTGATATTGTATCCAAGTTGCTTCATCCAGGAATCCTCTCAGGGAGACAAGCACGGAGTCCTGTGGACCTATTCTGCATAGGAATCTTCACAAGGAGTGTTTTTCAACCTATCAAACCTGAGATATTTTGTGCATGAGATGACTCCTCACCTGCAAAGGGGGCGAACCTGGAGACGGATGTATCGTGAGTGTATCGGCTGTAGACAGCATCTGTGTGTGTTCCACCATTCCCGTAGGTGTAGGAACTCCGCCGAACTGGGGCTGCAACACGAGAAGATTTTACCTTCATAGCTGATACGTTCTGGATTCAGTGGTCCTGCAGTCGCTGCAGCCATAATGCATTCAGAAGTTTTCACTTTGCTCCGCAAGCTGAGAAGCTAGATATTCTGTCTGTTGCTACTACAATCATGTCATTTATCCATCTTTACAACACTATTTTGGGGCCTTCATTTTCAACAGATTTCAAGGCGATTATCATTGATTATTAGCTTTGTTACTTGACCCTAAATAGATTTAGCACACTCAAAGCCACAAACAGACATGTATTTTACAAGTACTTAATATAAAGGAAACAGTGACTTCCAAATCAGAAGTATGGGACTTACGATCACCTTAGCGTTAAAAGTAATTTGTGAAAAGGTATTAGATTTACAATCGATCATCTTAGCGCTAAAATCAAATTGTGAAACGGTAAGGGAGTAATGATCCATCATCTTAGTGCTTTGATCAATTTGTGAAATGGTATGAGTTATGATTGATCACCTTAGTGCTAAGATCGATTTATGAAAGGGTATTGGAATTACGATCGATCACCTTAGTGCTAAGATCAATCTGTGAAATGGTATGAGAGTTACGATTGATCACCTTAGCACTAAGCATGCTAAGATCAATTTGTGAAATGGTATGGGAGTTACGATTGATCACCTTAGTACTAAGATCAATCTGTGAAATGGTACGGGAGTTACGATCATCTTAGCGCTAAGACATAGAGCCCTGTATATAATCAAGTCTGGACCAGACACACCAGTGAGTGACCAACCATTCATGTCATCAGGGTACGATGTCAAGCAATCACATAAGTCACCAAGTCTGCCCACAAAATCCAATTTCAAGTTCTTGGGACCTATTCTAATCTGGGTCCCCTATGAGTAGAAGTTACAACAAGAATTTCTTCCTGACTGTAACTTTCTTGACCAACATTAAAAGGCGAAAACTGAGCGACTCAAACATTTTTTAACAGTGGGTTGTCAGCCATTGTTAGTGCAACCTTGCTGTCCATTTCTACATCAACCTGTGCAAGTGATGGAAGACAATGTCGGAAGCAAGGAACTTCAAAGGATGTCTAAAATTACTTAACTACATGCTTTATTGTGTATTTTAGTTGCATAGCAACCATCCTTACTGCTAGGAGATGACAATCATTATTTATTTTTATCTGTTTATAGCCAATGTTGATTGATAAAAACGACGCCAGTATGGTATTCTTCAACATGTAGATGTAATAAAAAGCAGTGTTCCAGCGTTCTACAAAGCGTTCCTGCTGTAATGGCATGATGAGACCGCTGCATAATGTTCATTACACACGAAGGTAAATCTGTTCATCAATATTTTTTTTTAATTCCCTGTAAACACATAATCTGTATGTTTTCAACCATTGCATCTTTAAAATGTTTAAACAAAACATGAATTAAAGAAATCAAATCTTTTTCAGAAATTTAAATGTTCTTTTTCAAAGTAAATCAAATACTGGGTATGAGCCTTGACCATCTTGGAGTGCAGCAAAGGCAGTGATCGATTGGTTGTAAATTTTTTATGAAGTAGCCAATAAGAAAAGTAAAAAACACAATCTCAGGATGATAAAATCGTTTGAAATTAGACTTGTAGTTATTCCACATCTTTGTCATTGTTTATCTATGACATGTTCACAGGGCCTGACAAGCAGAACATTGCAGTTCAAGGACACTGGGAGATATCTGATATTCTCAACATCTATGTTTTTAGGTCTAACCTTTAGAATGATGTTTTAACTGTTAAGAGTACCATCATTTGATGCCTTTATAGTTGGACAATTTGTAATGTCTGAAAATGTCGCACCGAGAGAATATCAGAAATCAGTAGAGAGTTTGGTCCACCCCTGTCCCGAAATGTTTCACTCTGAATCTAAAACATTTACCCCAAATCCCGAATACTACAAAAACCTCAAAAGCACATGTTAGAATTCACTCTAAAAGTGCAGAATGTCAACCACAGACGAAAACCTACAGAACATATTCCTAGGTCATAAAAGGGTATGTCCAGGTTAGAATAGGTCTTCAGCAACATGCGACATGTTGACATGTTTAGTGACTTATATGTTTATTTGTTGTTTAATGTCGCACTCAGCAATATTCCAGCTATATGACGGCGGTCTGTAAATAATCAAGTCTGGACCAGACAATCCAGTGATTGACATCATGAGCATCGATCCGCGCAATTGGGATCGATGACATGCATCAACCAAGTCAGCGAGCCTGACCACCCGATCCCGTTAGTCGCCTTTTACGACAAGCATATGATTCCTCCTTTGATCGAAGGCCCGTGAAGACCTGGGGTAGAATAGGTCTTCAGATCAGCAACCAACGCTTGCCATAAAAGGCGACTATGCTTGATGTAAGAGGCGACTAACGGGATCGGGGGGTCAGGCTCGTTGACTTGGTTGATGCATATCATCGATCCCAATAGTGTAGATCGATGCTCATGATGTCAATCACTGGATTGTCTGATCCAGACTTGATTATTTACAGACTGCCCTCATATCACTGAAATATCGCTGAGTGTGGCGTTAAACAATTTCAATTTACAGTATATGGAAATATGAACAATAAAATGCCTCCCACCTCAAATGTGTTTAAATTTGTATGAAAATTTAATAATTAATTAACAGTGGCCTAATCAGCCTATAACTATGCTATCCATATGAAGTAGCGGTTGATATGTGCGCACCAAAGTGAGTGGTGTTCAATTAAACAGAATCATAACTTTCTAAAACGCCTTGTTGACAAATAAGCTCATAGTTAAGGTAAGACATCCATCTGTTTCCCCCCTCATAAATATACATAATTAAAAGGATTGAGCGGTAATGCATACATATATAACTTTAGGAGGGGGGTATGGGCGGAAGTCTTTCCATATATCACTCTGTTGGTTGTATTTTTCTTCCATGAATTTAGTCCCGTTTACCTCAAATCATCCCAGCCAGCACTTCATTACTTAATAGGGGCAGTCGGGTAGCCTAGTGGTTAAAGCGTTCGCTCGTCACACCGAAGACCCGGGTTCGATTCCCGACATGGATACAACATGTGAAGCTCATTTCTGGTGTCCCCCACCGTGATATTGCTGGAATATTGCTAAAAGTGGCATAAAACCATACTCACTCACTCACTCATTATTTAATATTGCGTCGTGCAACTTGACATCTTGACCAAGAAATCCATCTAACAATAAAATGAACTGGTCATGCCAAATGACAATAAGAGACCCAGGCTGTTTAGTGTTTCAGGGATCGACAGCACCATTGTGTGCACCGCCTACAGCTGTTTGAGAGCTGCCTTGTGTCCGTCTCACACACCTGGACCCATGTTCAGGTGATCTGCAAGTCTTAATTATTGATCTGATCCGTCTCCAAGCTGGAAATAAATCCCAAACTAATTGCCTCGTCAGGGGACGCTGGTCATCACTGCGAGATGAGAGTTGCTCAACATGAACAGCTCTGTTGTCGTGGATGCCTGGTCGTGGACTGACCGTGAGACTGGCCTCTACTGTATGTCATCTATTTGTGTACATACAGAGAATTAGGAATTTAGAGGAAGACTGAGTCAGTTTGGGCTTTTCTTTTGTTAAGACGTAATTAGTACCGATCAACATATTTACTTCTTGAATATGCCAAGAGAGACCATTTTTTAAAAATTGATGTAAAAAATAACAATCTTCAAATTCTCAATAAAATGGTATTTCATCTTTTTAAAATTATCATAACGTCAATAAACAAAACAGCATCACCATTTTCCCCTTTTTTCATTTTTTTAATTAAGGTAAGGTTTTTCTTTAAACTTGAAAATACACTGATCTGCATTCAGGAATTATTGGTTGTCTGATCTTTGCAATCAAGCAAGCATTTCCCTGATGGAGATTGTTAACGGATGTTGTTATTTTCGTTGCCATGGAAACGCTAATAAATAAGAGACAGGGTATAGGTAGAACCTAATGTATCACCAAGACGATGTTTATAATGAGAATCAATTTACAGCCTTTATCCAAACCTGATGTATAGGAAGCTTTCAGAGAGCTGTATTGATTCTCTTCTTCTGTAATGTTAAAACAATTTTGAAGATATACTGTTGACGTAAGGCCATAAGGAATCAATTATCGGGGTTTCATCCCTGTCTGCGTCCCACCAAACAGCTTGCCTCTCATCATCTTGTTGTTCCCAAGTACATACGGATGAATAAGATAAGCATGTTATTATTATTATCACATTATACATCTATATACCGCAGGTGCCCAGGTACTAATATCTTCTCAAATGCAGTTTCTATTTGTTCCCCGACCAGTGGATCCGTTTGCATTCCAGTTATCATTCTCAACTCCCTGGGAAGTATACAACCCAAGCTGCCTATGGGTGCTAAAAGGTTTCTACATCCACTTCATATACCGAGTGACCGCCTCCGTGATCTAGTGGTAGAGCATCGGCCCTGAGAGCGGAGTCCCGGGTTCGATCCCCGACCGCGTCATACCAAAAGACGTTAAACGATGGTACTTGTTCTTACCCTGTCTGGCGCTCGGCATTAAAGGGCTCAAACAAGGACTGGTCGGCTCGGAGTCAGTATACTGTGTCTTAGTGGGGTATTCATGTTAAACTGCGGCATGGTATCTCAGTGAGCTAGCACTATAAATCGGCATCAGTCCGGACTAGTACAAGCAGCCACACACACACACACACGTGCATGCACGTCGCTATATAAGTGCAATAATGTTGTACGCGACATTAATCCCCTTTTCACCTCACCTCATATACCGAGTACATGACACTCTTGTGTCCCTGCTTGATGACATACACCATATGTGTAGTTCTGTGACATTCACTGACAGTCAATGTACACAGATGCCCCAAACTAGTCTGTCTCACAGTCCCTGAACCATATTATTTTCACTTCCACCTAGCCTTTCTGTAAAGCAAAAGCCCTAAAGGAAGCAAGTCTAGATTTCCTCAGGTTCTGAATCTCCCGTCTCGCTGGGTCACCTTTTCAATGTAAATGGAGTTATTTGTTTCTATCAAAATTAAACATTTTCAGAGACTAAGTGTTACTCTGGCCCTGAACATGTAAAACAGTTTGTTAAACAATATGAATAAAAAGTAAATTATTTTTTTTACAGTCCCAGCACCCCACCCCACTCCACCCCAGAATATCAAACACTCAGTCCCTAAAATGATCTCAATACTTCTTAAAACATGACAGCATATCGTGGAGTGAAAGATACATCCACAACAACAAGTCCACGCTGTTTTATAGATAGTTTTCTGTACGGATCGGGAACTACCAAAGGTACAACCAGCCAATCAAATCTGTAAACAAGATACATCACAATCAACATGTCCATATTATTTTTCTTATGACATTTTTTTCATGTCATACGATGACTAGTATGATGATCAATGACTCTACGTAATTTTGTTTTATTATTTTCACAAATAACACTTGTAGAGACGTTTGTGTGCAACATGCAGAAATACAATCCACTGACAGACCGTCACGTATACGAGTGACCCCTCTCAGGTGGTCACTTGTACGCGAGACGGGAGAGCCATCTCGCGTACACGTTACGTCCTCTACTGATGAGTATCACTAATTCTCAGCATCATCCTATATTTTTTATGCCCACAATAACCAGTAAGCCCACTCGACAAACTCGGTGACATGATTGCCACATCAGCACAAATCTGACTTCAAGAGCTTAATAACAGAGAGTATTGTTTACTTTCCTTTAAAACAAATTTATCCTCATTCATTTTGTATTTGCCGTCTGCTGCCATCAATTACTGCGGGACTTGTGTATTACACGTAAATCAATGTCTTCATGGTGGAGTTGCTGCTCAAACATAATGGAGCTGACATAAGCTACCAGCCCAAAAGCATGCTTGTCAATTACTTAAATTCATCCCGGAGGGACAGGTCCTCCATTAAGTAGATTTGTTGTATGAAAACATGCCTCAGTGTTTGACACGGATCAAATTGAAAAGTCAAGTTAAAACTGTTGCTGTGTATGTTGGCTTTGTCATGATACAGTATGTCAGGATATATCTGGGGGGTTCTCTTTCTGTGAAAGATGATTGATATATGATATTTATTAATACAATACTGGCTTATCAGTGAGTGAGGGAGTTCGGCTTTACGCTACTTTGAACATGGCGTGTCAGCGTGATGTTGGAGGTAAGTCCAAAGTGACGCAGGTTTTAGAGATTTATTACTTTAGAGAAATCCTTAGTGCATGAGTATAGTACTGACGAAGCTTGAAACGTAATAGGGATGGATCTGGAAACAAAATCCACAATCACAGGATTACGCCATGCCTGAGGACGTCTGTGTCTGATCGACTCTTTTATATGAACTTGAAGATTTGTTTGTTTGTTTGTTTGTTTGTTTAACCCTGAACTCAGCAATATTCCAGCTATATGATGGCGGCCTGTAAATAATCGAGTCTGGACAATCCAGATATTGAGATCCTGAGCATCAATCCAGACACTTGGGATCTATGACATGCATCAACCAAGTCAGCGAGCCTGACCACCCGATCCCGTCAGTGGCCACTTACGACAAGCATTGTCACCTTTTACGGCAAGCATGGGTTGCTGAAGACCTATTCTACCCCGGAGTATATATCCGATATATCCGACAGAATATCCTCCCTGCGACCTTGTGAACGAAACAAAGGAATCCACACTAAAAGCCATCCACCCTGTTTCAACAGCCTTCTGCAACAGTCTATGAATTTACTTTAATATCCGGCCAGTTCAGCAATGACACCCACCACCTCATCATAACCCATCCACTGACAAGCCAGGATACATTTTCTGTCACATTGATCATGACAGCCATTTTGATGTCCCATACTTGCTGTAAATGTACTGTGATGCACTGTCACTGACGTATTTCATAACAGGCATTCTCATTGTATGATGGTATAATTTAAATCTATTCTTTGTAAGCAGACTACAAGTGATGGTACTGCAGGCGATTTTGAAGGATGAGTTTGATACTTCCTATTTTATAAAATATGAGTGGTTAATTCTACTTATCATTACAACCGAGAAGTTTTCTCCATTTAGAGTGAGTGAGTGAGTGAGTGAGTGAGTGAGTGAGTGAGTGAGTGAGTGAGTGAGTGAGTGAGTGAGTTGGGTTGAATGCTGCTTTTAACAGTATTCCAGTTACATTGCGGCATGTCAGCTTAATGTGGGAGGAAAGTCCGAAGTCATACAGGTCTCAGATGTTTACCACTTAGGCAAAACCCACAAGCACGGGTATGGTGCTGACAAACCTAGAAACATAATTGGGGCGAACCCGGGATTCGAACCCACAATCATAGGTTTCTGACGTGCTCTAGAGACGCAACTCTGCACAGTGAATCGTGGCACCTCAGATGACTGGGCCACCCGTGCCCCCTCACCATTTAGAAAGCAATACACCAACATTGTTGAAATCTTATCATACAGCATGTGTAGGGATACATCTATTTCATGGCAGTCTGGAGCAAAACAAATAACCCAATAACTTCTTTGGGGAAAATCCATTGGCCAAGAAATACATTCCTGGAAACGACATTTGTTGACATATTTGACAACAATAACGATTAATTCTGTTCTACTGGATTATATCAGTGTTGTAGTTTTATAACTTAAGTCATTCACACCAATCCGCACTCACACTGATTAGACGTCACGTGACAGACAGCTCACTCAGGTGTTAAATGACTAGAACCGGACTTGGCGGTGTTACAAGATAAATCATGTTTTTGACAGTTGCATAACCGATGCCACCAGAAAAATGGATACCGTATTTGACGTAATAAGCTCTCAAAATTAGAAATTACAGGCGATCTGTAAATAGTTGAGTCTGGACCAGACAATCCAGTTTGACATCATGAGCATCGTTCCACGCAATTGGGATACGACGACATGCATCAACCAAGTCAGCGAGCCTGACCACCCGATTCCGTTAGTCGTCTCTTGCGACAAACATGTCGCCTTTTACGGCAAGCATGGGTTGCTAAAGACCTCTTCTACCCCGGATCTTCACGGGTCTACACTTAAAAACGACACAAGTTGTCAAACTTCACACAAAGTTTGATGCTTCATGTTTACAGCCATAAGTTTGTGTGTGTGAAGACTGTGAAAAACATTTGTATACCAGTTTGCGAAGTTTGACTAACTGTTGGTGAGAAATTGAATCGGTCTATTCTCATCAATATTTCGACCAACATGTGAGTGTTTTCAAACTCCATTTTGATGTGTGAATGGTTGTCACACATGTTGGTCAATTACAAATAATCAGACACGGCACAGACATCTCATCACTTATGTCGGCTGAACCGTGCAGATCGGGGGTAGAATAGGTCTTCAGCAACCAATACTTGCCGTAAAAGACGACTAACAGGATCGGGATCATGTTTCTGTACAGTTTCAAAGTATCTGCTCTTTCTCAAATATACTATGTTTTCAATTGTTTTATATCTTATGGACCCAGGTTAGCATTGATCTTCCGCAACCCATGCTTGCCGTAAAAGATGACTATGTTTGTCGTTTCAGGCGGCTAACTGAATCATGTAGTCAGACTGGCTGACTTGGTTCATGCATGTCATTGCATCCCAATTGTGTGGAACGGTGCTCATGTTATCAATCACTGGATTGTCTGGTCCAGACTCAGTTATTTACAGACAGCCTTTATATAACTGGAATATTGCTGAGTGCGGCGCTATACAAACAAAACAAACAAAACTTATGTCTGTTACAAAATGGTGCCACCTACCTGATGTGGGCCTCCCTTGGCCATAGGGGGGACGTGGCACTTTGGCGTTGACTTGACTAGACAGGGGGGCAGTGGGAACATGGAAGCACCGCCGGACCGCCTCCGAGCTGGTGAACGGCTGTTGCATGTACGACCCACCGGTGTGATCCATTGTGTTCTGAAGGTAAACATATAAAACACTCAGTAAATCACTTACACAATATTCATTTTGGAAACATTTGATTAAAATCACTTATGTAAGAAACAGAAATGTTTGAGCGAAGATACATTATGTCAGTTTGGCTGAATAATTGTATAGACATACAGAAATTATGGAATCCATGCATGTCAAAAATAGAATATGGTTTTCAAAAGATTGTTTCCTGTGCAAATAGATGCATTATTTTTATGATTCAGAATTATTATACATAAACAGATGGCTGGTTGGTTGAATGGATGTATGGATGGAAGGAATAAATAGATGACCAACTTAACCAAATGCAGGCAGACTTTTGTCTGCATCTATCTGCTGTAACAAAATGTACAAGTTTGTTTACCATGAGCTGTTTTTAACTGAAACTAAGTCCAAACTAATGTTATCTCTTGTCTTAAATATTTATTTTGTCAGTAGGCAGTAGAAACAAGAACACAATAGATATCAAGGTTACAAATTGTTAACTTTTTAGATTAATATTAAACTTTCAGCCTCAGTGACTTGGTTGATTGCTATCATTGTGTCCCACTGGCGCGAATCAATGCTCATGATATCAATCACTTGATTGTCTGGTCAAGACTTGATTATTTACAGACCAACGTCATATAGCTGGAATATTGCTGAGTGCGACGTTAAACAACAGACAAACAAACAAAACATTAACATCTTTGTGAAAGCCCTGTGGAACACTTTCCATAAAATACCATTTCTATTTCAGTATGCTGTTGCTGTTAATTAGATGCTTTAATCTGAGCAAAAATATATTTCTTTTACAATTTCGATGATAATTTTCTATGATATGAACACCATGTCATATCACAGCCATTTTGTATTTGTGGGTAGGGTGTCTTGTGAACAAAACCAATAGAAACTTAACATGTATTTGTTTGAAATATTTTTATTACATGTAACAATTTGCCAAAGAATTCCGAGGAAGACAAAAAGCATGATTACTTCTTTAAAATTAGTTGTAATTATCAATGTATATATCCATTCTGTTTCGTTTTATGAGAATCCCTTCCCACTGTAACAGGAACATCGGTACGAGACTTTAAGCTATAATACATGACAACAAAGAGTATTGTTTTTGTCACCATAATACTAAAAATTGACATGTTTAATAACTTGAAGTAGAAAATGGATAGTGAAACTGATACAAGAAATGGTAACATGAACTGTATCAATTGATGGATAGAATGCAATAAAATGAAGTGAGATACATTTGCTCAGAACAGGTGGGAACACATCAAATAACCAATTAGTTTCATAATATTTGATACAGTGTCGCCAAACATGCTATTGTGATGACAAATGGTATTTTTATGATAATTAAAACGATTATTCAAATATGCTTATTCAGAATATGAGAATAGGAATGTCTAATAGACATAATTAATCGCAGAGCCTGGTAACAGTCGACCCTGATAAACAAACACAAACAGATGAAACAATGTCTATGGGCTGAAAAAGTGAAAACTAACGACACATACCGTAGAAAATCAATAAATAAACACTATTCTCAATGGTTCAGAGCACCCGGCATATTTATGAATGGAAACGCACCTGTGAATTGTCATACAGTAATGATTAAACTTTAGGCGTCAAGTACACGTTTCAGAGAAGTCCCACTTGTGATAATAGAGTTATATTTAGTAAAACATTCACCACACATCGCAACAATTACGGCGTTTCCATGGTAAACAGTGGCTGAACGACTTACCTGGATTTAGGTCACCAGTTAGCGACACTCCGGTGACAATCTTGGACAGGTAGAGGCTTGAATGACTTCGAAGCGCGTTAACAGACTTTTCCTTATTTTCTTACATGTTTACATCGTGTTCATCTTGAATAAGTATCCATGTATCCCCTTATCTTACGGTAGACCTTCCTCCACGTGCAGTAGTCTAAATTTACTATTGTTTGTATGGTTGCCATAAGACCTAGTCCGCATGCGTACTCGGATTTGCTTAATTCCCGGACAGACCCGGGTCGCTGTGGCTATTTCTGGATGATGAGTAAGATTAGTAAACTGCTTACCCCGTCATTTTTAGATGTAAAGAATCCTAAACCATTTAAATTATTCATGAATCAAAACTTATAGACTTGTCTAAAGTAATTGGTGTTATGGTCGCTAACTTCTATCCATAATTAATATAAATTATTAGCGTTTAAATTATTAAATTTTCTACGACTTCCCTGCAGTGATTTATGAGAATACGAAATTCCCATTGGTATCGAATGGAGATGCTTGTGGTAATTTGCACTACTGGCAGATTAAATCGGGTTATTAAATAACACTTTGTAATATGTTTATTGAAATCTTGCAATGAATAAATGATTATCTCATTACAACGTCAAAACTTGGCACCAGTCCGAACAGCCTAGGCTGGTTCTACTGTCACTTTGGTGGTGGTGGTGGTGGTGGTGGTGGAGATGATGATGATGATGATGATGATGATATACTAAATAACAAACAACGACGATGATGATGGTGATAATGGTGATGATGGCGACGATGATAATAATAACAACAATATCAATATTAGTAAACATAATTATATAAGTTTGTATAAAAAAATCTGTTCCAACTTATGCCAGTCACTACCCTGGGTGCCTGGTCTTATCTGTAAAGGGGACTAAAAAATAAAATTTCAATTACAAAAAAAAACAGGGAAAAAAAAGTAATGATAATGACAACAACGAAGATATAAACAATACCACCAACAATAACGATCATAATTTGGCCAATGGATAAGGATGTAGCAGCAATTTTCCACGTCGCAAATCACAAACTAACACGTATAGAATTTCCATATCATCCTGCTAGATATGGATTACCGTATTTGACGTAATAATCGATCCGCTCTAATAAGCGCCCACGGCGTGTATAATGCGCACTCGTGTATTATGTGCACCCTTAATTATGGGCAATTAAATTCTGTTTGTTTGGTTGTTTGTTGTTTAACGCCGTTCTCAGCAATATTCCAGCTAAATGACGGCGGTCTGTAAACTAATCGAGTCTGGACCAGACAATCCAGTGATTGACATCATGAGCATCGATCCACGCAATTGGGATTGATGACATGTATCAACCAAGTCAGCGAGCCTGACCACCCGATCCCGTTAGTCGCCTTTTACGAAATTAAATTTCTTGAAAATATATCTGTCGTGTATAACACGCACAGACTTTTCTTCTGTATCATTTCAGGCTGTCAGCATAAACCACGAAATTTACGATCCTTCAACTATGTTGTTTTTTTCTCACCAAAATTTTATTCCAATAAGAGCCCCCTATTTCTAATTTTGAGAGCGTACTGAACGCTTATGACTTCGAATACGGTAAAGCAAACCCTGTTTCAAGTTTCAATGAACTGATGATCAGTTGTTTGGTAGGTAATTAGACTCAGCTTAAACATACTTATAACTGTATTTGAGAGCAGGCGAGGTTCGTTTAATGCCTTTTTAAAACCGAAATCTAGTTATATAACGGCGTGAAGATCCGGATTAGAAGTATCTCCAGCAATCCACGCTTGTCGTGTGAGGCGACTAACGGGATCGGGTGGTCAGGCTCGCTGACTTGCTTGATGCATGTCATCGATCCCAATTGCGTGGGTCGATGCTCATGGTGTCAATCGCTGGATTGTCTGGTCTAGATTCGAGTATTTACAGATCGACGTCATACAGGTGGAATATTGCTGAGTGCGGCGTTAAACAACAAACAAACAAAATTAAAAACAAAAATCACGGGGTGTCAGCTTGATGTTAAAATTTCAGACATTTACCACTTTTGCGAAACAGACAAGGACACGGGTAACTTTGTAACATAATCAAAGCGAATGTGGGATTCGAACCCACAATCGTAGGACTCTGACAAGCCTAAGGGACGCAACTCTTCACAACGCTTAGTGGCATCTCAGACGGCCGGGACACCTGTGTCCCTGACAATGGGAGGGGTATATAGTCGCCTGCCATAAACCATTATGTAAATACAGGTGCTGACAGGTAACTGGAGATCAGAGCGCCGCTTCCAAGGCAGTGTTCAACGCGTGGAAGAGAGCAGACAGGTGGTACACGACAACAGTTGAGGGGAGGCGATAAGACCGTCTGAGCTCTTTACGTAAAAGTTATGTAGTTTTATATCAGGGCTCCGTTCCACATAGCGATCTTAACACTACGACTACCGTAGGTCTATGTAAATGTATGGGGGTTATGATCGTGTTAGCGTTAAGATCGATCGCTTTGTGGAACAACGCCCATGCCTGTAGAAAAAAAATGAGTACCATATGTAATTTTCCTTAGATTAATTCTCGCCGATTTTCTCCAATAAAATATCGTTTTCCGTTATTTAATAAACGTTATCATGAACAATCACACCTATTCCACTAAATAAGAATGTGCGAGTATGGTTTTAAGCCGATTTTGGCAGTACAGTAAACTACGGTTATAACGAACACGCTTATAACGAACTGGCGGGTATAACGAACTGGTTTTTAGGTCCCTGCCATTTGCTGTATATATTGTGTATATATGCTTATAACAAATTACGGTTATAACGAACTAGAATTTGTAGTCCCTTTGAGTTCGCTATAACCGTAGTTTACTGTATTACAAAATATCACAGCTGTGCGACACCAGGCTGTGGTCTAAATTGAATAATGTTTGTATACGGTTGCCATACAACCATGCGGAGAATCGAACCCAGGACGTGACGAGCCAACGCTTTAGCCACTAGGCTACTCCATCGCCCATCAGTTTTTAAGAAAACAGACGGAATTATTATTTGAAATTACTTACTGTGTGTAAACGGAGCGACCTTTTCCGTTAAACAATATTTCCTTGATATGGGCGTGCACAACAGCTAAAAAAACCAAAACTGTTTCAATGTCTATGTCAGCGCGAAAAGTCGAATCCGCACTAAAAGGGACGAAATGCACCTACCGCTGATTAAATGTGTCAAATAATATTGCTGATTTTCATTAGGCGTGTGATAAACGGCTTTTCAGTCCGACTACTAATAATACACTGTTAAACAAAATATTTAAAAGAGTATTTAGTTAGATATTTATTATGTTACTATTTGTTTAATACTGTGGAAGGGGCTGTCAAAATGGGCACAAAGTGTTAACCAGTTTCATATATTAGCTGGTTGATACCTGTTTTATATGCTGGTAGGATTAATGGCCTCCATTTCTGTTCGTTATGTCAGAGTGACATTTATTATTAATTCATTGTACCAAATTTCCTCTAATTGACGCCGCCTGGACTCCACATTTGTAGAATATGAACCGGGTCTAGTTGTAAAGGGCGCTAAAGTAGCCCAGTAGCTAAAACGTTCGCTGGTCACGCTGAAGGCCCAGGTTCGATTCCCAACGTGGGTACAATGTATGAGCTCATTTCTGTTGTCCCCCGTTATCATAGTACTGGAGTATTGTTAAGAGGGGCGAAAAAACATACAGACAGAGCAATGAAAACGGCCCGGATGAACGCCGGATAACAACAACAACAACAACAACAACAACAACAACAACACTGAACCCTACTCTCAACTACCACGCCATAAGAGATCCGTCCGTGCTTCCTTGAGAAGTGGCTTTATGTAATTTTAATGTTTTTATCAAGAATCATTCTTGATTTAACTGACTCTCATAACCCGTGTGCGTGGCGTTTGTACATGTGTCTTAATGTATCATGCTCCGTTGCCTTTTATCTTCTTTATATACAAAAGGTTCGACAAAAATAAACCACATTGTGTTATATTGTATTGTAAAAGGGGAAATACGGTACCTCCCTTGTCGTGACCCCAATAGTGTTATATGAACTTGCTATTCCAATGTAAACACGCAAACACAAGGCCATGTACAGCTTCGTCTGAACCGTGTTCACGTGCACCTCTCTTGTCTCTGTATAGGGGCGGTCGGGTAGCCTGGTGGTTAAAGCATTGGCTCGTCACGCCGAAGACCCGGGTTCGAGTCCCGACATGGGTACAACGTGTGAAGCCCATTTCTGGTGTCCCCCGCCGTGATATTGCTGGAATATTGCTAAAAAAAGCGGCGTAAAACCATACTCACTCACTCTTGTCTCTGTTTGAGTCGTGGGACAACGCTCAAGTTGACAGCCTAGTAGTTAGAACGGTCGCACGTCCGAAGGCCCAGGTTCGATTCCCAAAATGGGTACAATGTGTGAAGCCCATTTCTGATGTCCCCCGCCGTGATATTGCTAAAAGTGGCGTAGAACCATACTCACTCACTCAAGGTTTGGGTCGACAAAAAACCACACCGGATAATTGACTATGTCAATAACATAGATGCGTTTGATGGTATATACTGCCACAATTTCTCAAGACAAAGTTAGTTTTAAGATGACATGCGTTTAACGTTGCTTTCAAGATTATTGCACTTATAGAGCGCGTTTATTTGCGTGCGTGTGTGTGCGTGTGTGTGCGTGTGTATGTGTGCGTGCGTGTGTGTGTGTACTAGTCTTGACTAATGCTGTTTTTATAGTGATTGCCAACTCAGCCTTAGTATACTGACTCCGAGCCGACCAGTCCTTGCTTTACCCCCTTAATGCCGAGCGCCAGGCAGGGTAACAACAAATACCACCTTTTAACGTCTTTTTATCGTTCGTCTTTACCATACCTGTGGTGTCACGCTTCGGGGACCTACAATCACTTTGGGCGCCTCCGCGGTGATATAACTGAAAGAGAGTTCATCCAACGTCGCACCCAACTCACTCACTCCTGTCTTTATCAATAATCAAACTTTACTAAGACTTGTCAGAGGGGTACTCAAAGTACGTGATCTAGACTACCAGTTGTCGGACTTTTATTCTTGTGGAAGCTTCGGTGGCTGAGTGGGTTAGATCGCTGACTTTGTGTGCTGGCGAGTAGGTGCCTCACTCTGGCAAGTGTGGGTTCGAATCCCGGACGGGACTCAACCCAAAAAAGTACGA